ATGTCGCCCTTGAGCACCAGCATGAAACCAAAACAAATCGCGCTGCATTGTGTGTTAGCATGCTAATGCTAGCGATCTTTATTATGCTGGTATCTTCACACTGCATGTAAATTTACCTGAAATGAGCGTGATCTAGAAACACAGTTAAGCAGTGAGTACAGTATGTTATTCTTCTTTTCTCTAGTCCCTCAATTAAACAACTTTTATACACGAGGGGAGGAGTCAGCTGGCCGTCCCAACGATGTAAACAAACTGAAGATAGGACTCTGAAAACATCACAGTCAGTGGACTCGGGTGTTACACCCATTGTAGACAGTCATGACTCACAGAGTTATTTTCAGAGGAGATACTTGATTTCTACATTTAAGTGTGAAAAATCGCATATAAAGCTTGAGCAGTGCATTGAGCAGATGGTTAGATATTACGACAGTGGCTTGAATTTTAAGACTAGGGCTAGGAAAGCAGGTCCAAAGATCTTCAAAATATCCAATCATGAACTGATGAATGAGCAGCTTTACCTAATCAATTAATCAACCAGATCACCATCAGTTATCCAGTTTACAGTCAGAAATGACTCAATTGATTGATGAATGGCTGATCATTTAATTGGTTGAAGCCAGCTGTTATTTTAATTGTCAGTTTCAAGGCGTAAGGAAAAGTTCAAACCGTAATAATTGGGCAATTTTTAAATAATATACAACCAAACATCCCATGATTTTTTGTTATTTTAGAATACAAATTTACTTGCTCAATGAAGGGTTAGCTCAGTTGGTAAAGCCGATGATCTCTCAACCAGAAGGTCGGGGGTTTGATCCCCAGCTGCTGCAGCCACATGTTGATGTGTCCTTGGCAAGACACCTAACCTCAAGCTGCTCCCTCTGCTTCGTCGGCGGCGTATGAATGGTTGGCTTTTGCATTAGGAAATTGACTTGACTCTTGAGGCTAGAAGTAGGAAAGCAGGCCAAAAAGATCTTCAGTCTGAACTGATGGATGGGCAGATTGACTTAATCAATTGATTAAGCAGACACACACCAGTCACTGAGTCTACAGTGAGCTCTGACTTGATTGATGATGATTGGCTGATTATTTGGTTGGCTTCAAGAGTAGTTAATGAGGTTGGGTCTCAAGGTTGATCGTAGAACTACAGGCCTTAATATCAACAGTCTATTAAATATTGACTCAAACCCAACAATCATGTAGTCATTGTACAGCCAGAAGTGGCTTAATTTACAGTGTTTTTGGGAGGTGGTGGTTGCCTTAACTACATGGGACAGCTGAACAAGGACGAGAAATGTTGGAAAGAGAGAGAGTTGGGATGACATGCATCGAATGCTCACAGGCCAGGAGTCAGCGCACATAGAGAAATATGCTTCTGTATATGGCGTGCCTGCTCTACCATCTGAGACAACCATCGCTCCAGAGGAACTGACTTGATTGATGAAGGGTTGATCAGATAATCAGTTCAGGCAGGGATAATTGGCTGAACTGTCATGGCTGGAGGTATGCGAAGACATGCTCAGAGATCTCCAAAATATCACTGCATGAACTGATGAATGAGCAGCTTGGCCAATTCGATTGATCAACCAGACAGACATCAGTTGTTCAATCTACAGTCTGCCTTGATTAATTGGTGAATGGCAGATTATTGGGTTTTGTTCCTCGGAGGGCTAGGTTCTTAAGGTTAAAGTTGGAACTAAAGATCTTAAAAATGTCACTGAATCAACCGACCTATCCTTTATTCATTTGACAGTAAGAACTGACCAGACTGACATGATGGCTGATCAGATGGTCGGTTTTGGCAGGAATTCAGCTTTGACAGAGCACTTGAATGGAATGGTGAATGGACAGCAATTCAATCACTTAGTCGACAACCAGTTAGTCAGTTCTCTTACGCAGTTGATTGGTTGATGCTGATCAGATGATTGGTTTATGGCGAGGGTAATGGGCTTCTATCTTTAGACTGCAGGTAGATCTTCAACAGATAATCAACAGACTTGAAAACCCTAATATATGAGCAGCTTTAAAATAATCCATGGAGGGGGTAAAGTATATAATAATTTTGATTAGTTAACAATTTAAAAATAATTACTGATTGATTGATGATCGATCAGATTGCTGGTATCAAGCAGGAATAATTAGCTCTTGTCTCAAGGTTTTAGGGATTAGCTGAAATTGATATCTGACGTTCTTCAACTAAAATCTGACTTAAAGACTTTATATGCGATTTTTTGATCCAGCAGATGTCGCCCTTGAGCACCAGCATGAAACCAAAACAACTTGCGGTGCATTGTTGTGTTAGCATGCTAATGCTAGTGATCTTTATTATGCTCGTATCTTCACACTGCATGTAAATTTACCTGAAATGAGCGTGATCTAGAAACACAGTTAAGCAGTGAGTACAGTATGTTATTCTTCTTTTCTCTAGTCTCTCAATTAAACAACTTTTATACACGAGGGGAGGAGTCAGCAGGCCATCCGGGCGATGTAAACAAACTGAAGATAGGACTCTGAAAACTCTGAAAACATCACAGACAGTGGGACTCGGGTGTTACACCCATTGTAGACAGTCATGACTCACAGAGTTATTTTCAGAGGAGATACTTGATTTATATTATATTTAAGTGTGAAAAATCGCATATAAAGACTTTAACTGGTGAATATGTTTTTGCCGGCCATCTTTGGAAAAATACCACACAGAGGCTTAGTGGGCCTGTAACTCTGACTTGTAAGTATAAAAAAATTAACGATGACGGTGACAGTAAACAGAAAATATTCACCCTCTTTGTCTGCCTCCCGCCAAGCAACCAAACAGGTAAAAAAAGTAGAAACCACGTCCCTCTGCCAATGACCACAAATGATATCAAACCCCTTAAAGAAGTGAAACATAACAAATCATCAATAGAGGTAAAATACACATTATGGCTCCCACACAATCGTTCAAACAATCCAGACATGGTTTCTAGTGAGCCTGTTTTTAATGGCTAAGCTACAGTGGCTTAATGGTTGTCTTCCATTGTGAATGAGAAAGGGTGCAGCGTCACACGAGTTTTGAAGGCATAAGTGCTCTCTTGTGCCCATTTTTCTTGTCTTGGTTTAACTGCATGCAGCTTTGTACAAGTTATGAAGCAAAAACAATTACTAATGGTGTCACTTAGCTGGAGGTCATCTGACACAACTGATTCAGCTGCAGCAGCTTTCCGAGGAAGCTGACAGTTTCAGAATGTGTTCCCCTTATGGGACCACGCACTAAAATTGGGTTTTTAATTGAGCCTTTGACACACCCATTAAATCACAAATCACCCAAACTGACAAAACGTTTGAATTCATTTGCCTGAAGGTTTATGATGCTCTTGTTGACGTTGTGCTCATCAGCGAGGAGGCCCCGATGTGGTGTTTGAAATTTAAAACATACACACAGGTCATGTGTCAGCTCAGATGTTTATCGTGTCTCTGAAGAACATGGCAAATTAATTTTGATGAGGCTATTAACTCTCCATCTACAGCGGAGATTACATCAATCAGCCAATCAGTGTTTGGCTGATTTTCAGGACACACAACTGTCTGGAAGTGAGTGATTCAGCCGCTGAAGACTTTTTAGAGTATCGACTTACTTTCACTAAATTTAAAAAGAGGGATTAAAAGAAAATGTATTACTGGAAACGATCCCACTCTATAAACCTGTTGAACAGTGCAGGAACATTTCCAGGTGACGATTTTTTGTCTACATGGATTAATAGCATTTTTTTTTAATTGAAGCATTGGTTATGTCTCAAATAATATGGATGCCAGAAATAAGAAACGTCAGTTGCCAATGTTGCTTGGCACAAAAGGCGGACCCCAGCTGGAATCCATTCTATCCTCAAATTACTGTATCTGGAAAAACTTCATGACAAAAAGCCGCTAGTATTTCTAATTCTGTCATTTTAACCACTGCAGGTCAACAAGACAGAAGACAAGTCGCTGGAGGAGCGAGGACGCATCATGATTTCTCTCAAGTACAACACCCTGAAGTCCTGCCTGGTCGTTGGCATCATACGCTGTGCTCACCTCGCCGCCATGGACGCCAACGGCTTCTCTGACCCCTACGTCAAAACGTCAGTATGCGCACATACCTGCAAAACAAACACACAAAGAGGAATTTTAGTAAAGCTACTGATAAAAATGTAAAGTACTACTTTTACAAACAACAGCTACAGTTTTTAAAATCAAGATCAAAAATCAGTGTGCATGGATTATGAATCTGTGGGAAAGGATTTGAAATAGTGAGTTCAGATTTATTTACTCATGGCTGTTCTTTCTCAGCTGACTCCAGGGGGGCTCGGCACTAACATGTATGATGACGGGTGATTACTTCTGTTCCTCTTGACAAATAATTCTCCTGAATAAAGCCCGTGCTATTTTTAGACGATGTAAAACACACTGTACAAGTGCTGTAATGGATTAGCTGGCTGTGCTGCTGTTTTAGCTGAAAGGAGGCAGACTACCTGTGATTATCAGACACACGGTACAAGAGGCCAGCCGCAGGGCTGCAATTTGAAGGAGAGTCCTATTCATCACACCTGAACATTTCCCAAGTCTTTCATCTGGCTGAGCAATGAAAGTGCAATTAATTTCCTACTTCGCCGTGCACACCTTGAAAACAAAAGCCCCGACTCGATTCGGGAGGAGGAGGGCTGGCAACAATTTTTTTCCAACAGTTTGAGGTTGAGAAAATCTTCCTGAAGCTTGAAGGACACTCAGATAATAGATTTACTGACAAGCTGATGCGAGAGGCGATAAAGGAAATGTATACTCTGTCATAATGACGAGACAAGCTTGTTTCTCCTCCTGTCCATCGAATTGCTTTTTGATTCATCAAACCACAGCGGTCACCTGAACTGCAGATTTATCCTTTGTGTCAATTGTTGGACAAAAAAAGACCCCAAAACCTGAATCCATAGCAACCTTCTAATTTTGTAATTCAGGGTTGTATGTTCATTTAAAAAAAAAAAAAAGTATTGAATATAATTTTAATCCAAAACCATTATATTGCTTAAATGAATGAGAACTATCCTGTCAATCAGCTAATTAGTGTATACAGTGGATCCCAAACTTTCTCTGCAGGACCCCGCTTTGGGATATGAAAATATGTTCTGCTAACACACAACGGGCCAGATTTACTAAGCTCCCAATTAAAGAGTACTAAATTGCGAGTTCACTCCAAAAGTTTGCACGTTTGGTTGGTGGGCGTTTTGCGGGTGATCTACTAAGAAAATGTGCGTGAATGACAACAGGTGAAAACCTTGTGGAGGCGGTACTATTTAAGTTAGGCTTTTGCGTGTTCTACTGGTTTACATCACGGATAGTTTTGACAGAAAGCAGGATGACTGCAAGCACAAAATAGGTCTTAGTGGAAGAGGCAAATGAACGCACAATACTTTCGAGTTATAGGATATAAGAATATAAATCTGAGCTGTCTCCTCTGTGGGCGATCTACACTCGGGCCACTTGTTGCGCACCAGACAGCTGGCCAGCGCTGTGTCTGATCGGACATAAATGCCCTGGAAAAAGGTATTGAAGACGGGGGTACAAACAGTGGTGAGGTACCCCAATCTAAGCATCCTACAGAGTAACAGCAGGGGGCTTTAGAGGGAGGAGACGAGCTCATTATGGAGAGGAGCGCACCAGAGGGGGCGAACTGGGGGAGAGACGCGCAACCCGAGAAAAAGGAAACCCCCAGTTTAAAATGTAATGTTGGTGAGAAGAGGGAAATAGGAAGAAATAAATATCAATGTTGAAAATCTATAGAATGCAGAGGCTGTGAATGTAACAACCCTGAATCAAATTAAAAAATAAATGCATGTCATTTATTTTTCTGTCATTTGAAACATGTAAACACTTGTGGGGAAAAACGTGATCTTTATGCCTTCTTTTGTTGTGCAGATGTCTCCTCCTAACTTCAATAACAGCAGGCTGTTGTGCGTAACACTGGTCTCCTGGATTAGCACGTTCCTTTCAAAGGTGTTAAATACAGACACTGTCACAATCACCGCAATTTTGGCCAGGTTTGGTAAATCGCAATGCTGTACTAACTTAACTTGTTTGCATTTTCTCCTCCCAGTGTTTTGCATGTTAGGGCAGAAACGCCCCATATTGCAGATTCATTAAGGCAAACGTACTAAATGGTCAATGCGTGTTGTTTTGCTCATTTGAAAGACGCAATCCTCACTGCGCGCTGTTAGTAGATCAGATAGCACTTTTTTTGCTGGTGGTATCAAGTTTGCACACATTTTAAGACACACAAACCTTTAGTAAATCTGGCCCAAACTGTTTTCTCTTCATTACCCACTACAGATGTGGCTGAGGACGAGATATAACTCGTCATATTTTCTACTCTTTACCTACCAGCCCTTACGTAGAAAGTTTTCCACGCTTTGCTTGCTGTATAATACTCTGTGCATTGTTTTTTTGTTTTTTAGCCTCGATGTATGCACATACTTTTTACAGTTTGTAAACATCAGACTAACAACGTTTGCGGGGTCATAATCGCGCAAAATCTAGAAATATTACTGAACCTCGTCAGTCGACATGGTTGTTTAGCTTCTCGCAACACCTGCTTGTAAACAAATGCTTGTTGTCTAAGAGGGGTAAGAATAACAGCCCTATGTGTGTCTAACGATTGTGCAGTTGCATGCAGAAGCCTTCAGGTGGCGCCAAAGTGCACCATACAAAATTCCTACACATTGTTGCTTTGATTTCAAACCTTTGTTTTGGCCTTGAAAATGACTGACGTTTCCCTCGTTTACAATGACATCGAGAAGAGTGTTTGGTTTAATTGCACAGCTGCTGAACTCATATATGTTTCGTAGTTGTGCCAAATTGCAGCAATTCACACATTGATTCCATTGTGATGCATTGTCTGCATCCTAACTTCCGCTCTGACCGTGTTTTGCCTGGGGGGGGGGGGATCACTTGTCCCATTACCTGACAACAATTAAGTTAGCTGCAAAATCCTCATCAACAACAATTTGAGCCCTCGTTCCCTCTGGGGATACATTTGTGAGCAATAACCCACTTGAAGTGTCTTTAAGTATCTGTGTTACCTTGGGAAATTCAGGAGTGTGTGTGGCTCCAGTGAGCACGTAAGAGGGAAGAAGGATGTGACGAGCTGCTGTAATCGCCTGCAGGACTGAAGTATTCACATCAGAATGAGCTGGATTGTGCAAAACTGAACTTTGCAAAATGGACAGAGGTGATACAAAACATCCACTCCAACACTCAGGGATTGATATAAGTACAACCGGCCTTTTGCATCATTCATGAAGGAAAAGTCCAAGCTTACCACACACACACACACACACACACACACAAACACACTCTCAAACACACCTTGGCTGTACAATAACACCAAAAGGCTGCGCCCAGAACAGCAGAACAATCTGTTTTCCCCGCTGACTCAGACGGCAGTGAATACAAGCTAAAGCTCACAGGCTATACCACAATGTTACAGGTTTGGTAAACACTGGAAAAAACACAACAAATCCAAAATAAATACATTTACTTATATCACATAATGCACAACATCAACTGAGTCACAAGTTCATGGGTACATCCAAACAAAACAAACCCAGTTAAAACAAAACAACCATTGAATAAACCTGCCGGCTTTAAAGAGGACATGTTATCCCCCTTCTCCACCTTTTCAAACAGTCCCCCTGTGGTCTAAATGAAACATCTGTGCTGTGCTTTGGTCAAAATATAACATGAATCAAGCACCAGAGGAGGTTTGTGACCCTGTATAAACCAGCTCTCTCAGAACGCTCCGTTTTGGTGTGTGTGTCTCTTTAAATGCAATGAGCCCCCCCCCCGAGTTTAAAAATGGTGAGACTAAAAATGGCAACCCTGTGCAAAGCTTTGTTCTAGGCTGGGGGTGGAGTCCATGGTTGGAGATACCAGGGGGGGAAGGTTTTTTTTTAAACCAGAATCCCACTGTGACATCACAAAGAGAGCACTTTAGAAACAGAGCATTTTTCTTTGTGTTGTAAGACTTATGCCGACCACAAACAAAGGACTGGATGGGTTTATTTCACATTTTGTGGGTCAGTAGACACTCAGGTTACCCAAACATATGTTCAGAAACACTGTAGAAGTGGATTTTTAATAATATGTCCCCTTTAACGTTATAATGTACGGATTGGAAGCCCTAAGTGCATTTTATTTCTCTGTTTTCCTGTAATAACGGGTTCCTTTAGTGCCACAGATCTTCTCAAGTCTACGCTGCAGCTGTGAGACTGTCACTCTTAGTTTATGTTCAATGTCGAGCTTTCATTTGTATTTTGTCTTTGTTGAGGTGACAGCAGAAAAAAAAAACGATCTCACAGGAAAGATGTGGAACAAGCAACGAGATGTGGCTCCTCATTGTTGTGAAGTCTGGTGTAGATTCATTGTCAGCCTTATGTTTACCTGAAAGTCTTTGCTGCCAATGCTAAACCGTGTGCATCAATTGAATTTAGCATTGCTGCAACCCCCCCCATGTCATAACCCCATGCCATTGGCCACATTTTGTGAATCACTGCATTATACTTTCGTTTCTAAAATTGTGCACCTCCCATTATTAAGAGTTGGTGTGTACAAATAAAAAAAACACTCAGTTTAAAGTAAAATATAATCAAAACCTCCCTATCTCAACACGGTTAATGTATGATTTATTGCAGAACTGTTGCATTATTTTAAACTGGTGTGCCTAATTAACTGGAAATTTAGTTCATAATGATTCAAAATTCTTAAAGCAGTCAACCTGAAGACTATAAATCATAAAGTACACAAGAATCAGCAAGAAAAACAGGCTCTGAAAACTCAGACAAATTAGAGAAGTTGGACCAAAAGAAACTCATTAATCCATAAATTAATGATTTAAGGTAAAGAAAATGTTGATATATTGAGGTGTGTTGACGTCAAACACAACATGTAAAGGACATAAGTTTCTGCTTTTTTGAAAGGTTTTGAGACATCAGCTTTTATGTTTTCATAAAGTGAAAACAAAATTTTGAGAGAAGAACAGGTGGAGTCTATAAAAGCAGATCATAAAGTCATGTAATGTGATGTTTAGTGTGTGAAGCGCTGCAGCTGTGTGTTGAGTAAAGACAATGCCACAGCGCCCTCTGCAGGACACAACACAATAACAGCTGAGTTATGTACAGCATGTTGCTTTCACACAATGAATGGTGGATTTTTATTGTCTTTGAGGGGATTGAATAGTGCATCAGTATCATTTGGGATAATTAGTATTCTCCTGCTGTTTCTACACAAACAGGCCACATCACGAATGCTGTATTTATTCTTTCTGACTCGTCTGTCTTGCAGGTACCTGAAGCCCGATGAGAACAAAAAGTCAAAGCACAAGACGGCTGTGAAGAAGAAGACACTCAATCCTGAGTTCAACGAGGTAAGATCCTTTTTCTTTTTGCATTTGAAATCTTGCAGGACCAGTTTTCTTTTTCTCTTCCTAGTTTTTCTTTTACCTCAGTATGCTGCTGATGAGCACTGAGCATAACCTGAGTAACCCCTGAAAACCTTTCAGAGAGGGCACGGCTTTCAGAGAAGCACCTTATTCTTAATTCAACACTGGCTGACTGCAGCAGCACAACGGAGGCTGCTGATGGAGGTGAAATATGTCAGGAAATGTCGACTACTTCAGGTGTCTTTTGTAAGATCAGAAATAAAACCTTTCAATGGGCTGACTGTCTGAAAACATTTCTAATCACTTATGACTCTCTCCATCGTCTTAAGGCCTTTTCAGTGATCATCCTGTAAACAAGACGCATTGCTGTGTAGTTTTCCTTTAAAGTTTTGTGGCTGTGACTGTTTTCCATTTGGGTTACCTTGGATACTAGTCTGATTTTCTAACTTGAGCCGGCTCCATCCGGTGTGAAAGTTATACCCAGGGGTCCCTGGTAGCCTAGTGGCTAGTGCACATCTCTCATGTACGGAGGCTAGTCCTTGAAGCGGGAGGCCCTGGTTCAAATCCAACCGGTAGCTCCTTTCCCGCATGTCATTCACCTCCCTCTCTCACTCTCCCCGATATCTGACTCTATCCACTGTCCTGTCTCTCCAATAACGGCAATAAAAAAAAGCCCAAAAATAAACCTTAAAAAAAAAAAACATTATCGAACACATCGAATAAACATTAAAGTCTTTATATGCGATTTTTTAAATATAATAAAATCAAGTATATCCTCTGAAAATAACTCTGGAGTCATGACTGTCTACAATGGGTGTAACACCCGAGTCCCACTGTCTGTGATGTTTCAGAGTTTTCAGAGTCCTATCTTCACTTTGTTTACATCGCCCGGACGGCCTGACTCCTCCCTTGTGTATAAAAGTCGTTTAATTGAGGGACTAGAGAAAAGAAGAATAACATACTGTACTCACTGCTTAACTGTGTTTCTAGATCACGCTCATTTCAGGTAAATTTACATGCAGTGTGAAGATACCAGCATAATAAAGATCGCTAGCATTAGCATGCTAACACAACAATGCAGCACGAGTTGTTTTGGTTTCATGCTGGTGCTCAAGGGCGACATCTGCTGGATCAAAAAATCACACATAAAGCCTTTAAGTCCAACTGGTGCACAGGGTGTCACTTTGTGTTGGTCATAAGTTACAGCTCTAAGTCAGACGTAATGATGAACAGTAAGAAATAATTGCTTTTAGACCAAACAGAGCTAAACAGAGAGTTAAGACTGAACTATTTATCAAGGGCCAAGAAACAAGACTCCTAATGGAAGCTTACCTTGATCTAAAGTGTAAATATTCAGCTGTTTGCCAACACTGTAAGTCAGCAAATTGTTGAGCTTGTGTTTACAAATGATGCTGCAGGCCTCCAAGTGGAAACATATAATTAAATGTATCATATACTAAATGGAGAAAGGGAACACAGCATATTGTGAGCTGTAATGGGTTTTTTCACACTGTTGATAAATTCACCATGAAGGAAACAAGACTCGTAATAAATCCGTTTTTGACTCAGCCTCACAGATTTCCTTCTGTATAACCAGAAGACTCATTAAACTGTCGAAATCAGAAATGCATTTCTAAAGACCCAGCATTATATTAGAGGAGGAAGCCAAACGTGTTTTCCTCAGTGCGTCACGCTGCACGGCGACCAGGCTCAGAAGTCTCCTCCTGCATACGAGTGGACACACTCAGGGCCAGCAGCTTGACATTTCCTCTGACATTTTTTGAATCTATATTCCTCCATCACCTCTTGACCTTTCTGTCAGAAGACAGTGCCCTCATACGGGCTCTTCCTCCGTACCGGGGCATCGATTTCATTAAGGTGGAGCAGGAGCCCTGATTGAACTGCAGATTGAAATGCAGAACGAACGCTCCTCCCTCACAGGGAGCAAATTGATATCAGAAAGAAATGCTTGTTTCATTTATTGGACAGTGGACTCTATTGATTATACTGTCATTCTTTTAAAGTAGCCCAGCATGTATTTTAAATTTAATTGGTCAGGGCTCCAATCAATAGTACTGACACTTGTTGTATCCTGAGTGTCCTGAGTTAATAAAAAAGGGAACCACATACATTAGATTTCCAACTGTAACCAAAAACAATAAACGTTTTGGTTCAGTTATGATGTTATTCTGCAAAACCAACACCATGCAGGGATGTTTTAATGTTGAAGTATTAAAGCAGCATGGAAAATCCAGTTCTGGAAATTTAAAGGTCACATACCCTCCTCCTCTTCTTCAGTTAAATAAGTCTCAGAGCTCCCCAAAACGTGTGTGAAGTTTCTTGTTCTAAATCCACTATGATCCTGTATTTGATCATGTCTATAAACCCTCTATTTCAGCCCTGCTCAGAACAGGCTGTTTCTGTGTCTGTACCTTTAAATATGTAAATGAGCTGTGTCTGACCACGCCCCCTCTCTGGAAGGGCTTGGGTGTACTCGGTCTTTGTCCTATTGTTTACGGTGAGAAGGCAGACTCAGAGGGCAGAACAAACACCTAGCTGTGGGAGTGTCACCCACCTGGGGGAGGGGTTACTGCCCTTTGTGATGTCATGAAGGGAAAATCTCCAAACGGCCTGTTTGAGCACACATTTTCTGAAAAGTGGAACAGGCAGAAGACGGAGAGGATGGACTTTTCTCATGTTTGGGTGGTTTGTAGACAGACTAGAGACACATGTTAGAGTTAGAGGAACATGGTGAAGTGTGTTTTGCATAATATGTGACTTTTAAGATTTTAAGACGTCATACTTTTTGTTGTTCTGGAAACATTGACATTTAAAAAACAGATTTTTCCTCCATTCTGTTTTCTGCAGGAGTTCTGTTACGACATTAAATATGCAGACCTCACCAAAAAGACACTGGAGGTAACCGTGTGGGACTACGATATCGGGAAGTCCAACGATTTCATAGGTAAGCACAACAGACTTTAAAAAACATGGACGTATCCTCAGTGACATCACCCATTGTTTCCTAAAGAGGCTTTATGAATCTGAAAGATGGTCGCCATACTGGTAAGGCTAGAGTGAAAATGGTATAAGTTCAAAAGTAAAGGGCACAGATGGCCTAGCAGTTGGATCAGTTGTTTTTTTTCCTTTTTTTTCCTTTTAACTTCGTTTTTATTCATTTTTCTCATCAACAACAGTACAACATGAAAATGTTTTCTTTTTTTTTTCTTTTTCCAGCTGTATACTTACATTCGGATATTAAGCCAGCAGAAATAGATTACAAGAGTAAGATACAAACCAAAATGTCCACTCCAAAGAATATACATATACACAATAATACACATGAACAAACAAGTACATTATCAAATGTTCATAAAAGTAGAGGAGAAATGAAAATCATTAATAAAAGTTGTAATCATAAAGAAATAAATTCTAATCCACTCAAAGAT